CCCAAAGCCTGACAGAGAGAAGCAGGTGCGCCACAGCCGATGTCATGTGCAGGTAACTGCATCGTCAGCGACCGGAATTCAGTGACACGTTCGCAGCCTGCACGCCTGGGCCACACAGACCTGTGCACCGCGTCCGGGGCAGACTGGCCTCAAAGCAGACGGGAAAATGGGAGCAGGTCTGACGAGTTATTGTGACACTTTCAATAGGTCACAAAACTCATTTGGTAAAAATCAACATTTCCTGATGGGGAAAGAGGAAGAAATTTTTTTTAATATTCTTGGAATAAAAGCGCATTTCCCGGGGCACCTGGGGGGCTCAGTCGGGTGAGCATCTGACTCTTGATCTCAGCTCAGGTCTTGATCTCAGGGTCGTGAGTTCAGGCCCCGCGTCGGGCTCCAGGCTGGACATGGAGCCTACTCAGAAAAAAAAAAAAAGAGTATTCCCTTTTAAAGATAAATATTTTTCAGTTATTCATTCTTAGTTATAATGTTAAAAATCCCTATTAAACTCAGGGCTGACAATGCCCACTCTCACCATCATTATTTAATATTTTATTGATTTTTGTCAAAGCAACAATATGTAACAGAAGGCAGAATTAGAAGTATTTGCAGGTGTTATATACCTAGAAAGTGGGTGGGGGGGAATCTACTGAAAAACAGAAACAATTAGCTCTAACAAATTTGGGAGGCAGATGAAAAGCTGAGCTGAACACAGGAGGCAGCAGTGTCTGCCACCCGAGGGCCCAGAGCCAACTCCGAGGGGTCAGGGCAGGGAAGCAGAGACCATGCGGGCCCGGAAACAGGGGTGTGCACCCCAGTGAGAGGGCCGGGGGCTGCCCCTGATCGCAGGCGACGAGATCAGACCCCGAGGGGGGATCCACGGGGCAGCTGAGGTCACTGCCCACAGGCCGGAGGTCAGCACAAAGGCCCATTCTCATTCTCTCCTCCCGGACGACGGCCCTATCTCCTAGCCCTTCCTGGAGCCCTCTGACCACCAGGATGTGGTCTTCTGACGGGGACACCCTACTCCAAACCCAGTGCCCCATCCCGTGCCTCAGTGTCCTGCCTGAAGAGGGGGCTTAGGATGGCCTCTCCGGGAAGCTCTGATAACTGCTCGGTGAACCGGTGACAGTCACCCCACAGGATGACCCCCTGCACGGCGGCTCCTCCCTGTCCGGTGGGAGCGAGGGAGGGCCTCCAGCCTTGCAGAGAAGTAGGCGCTGAAGTGCGACCCTGACGGGGCCGGGCCAGGGCAATAGGGCTGGCAGGATTCCGGTGCCCAGAACAGGGGACTTTCATCCCACCCCCAACTCCCAGGGGTGTTCCTCTCCCACCGCAGGCTCAGACAGAAGACATCAGTGGGCGGCCCACCCTTCCAGCCGGGCGGTGTGTGACCACAGCTGTGTTGCATGACACTCCCACCCCCGAGTGGGACATTCGGGCAGAGAGCAGAAAGGACGGACCCTGCGGGTGCTCCTTGGACCCAGACCCCAGGCTACCTGGGGCCCCTATGACTCAGAGCCCCTGAATCTTCCTTAACTTTCCTTTCTGCGGGGCCACCTCCTGGCACCAACCGACCTGTGCACACCCAGAGCCACTCCCGCCGGGGGTCCACACAGAGAACTCCAGGTCCAGCCCCCCAGCCCGGGCCCCTTAGCGAGGGGGCTTAGCAAGATCACAGGATTCGGAGTTGGCACACGGAAAACAGCCCGTGCTCCGTACTCGGTGACACACAAAGGGAAACAAACATTTAAAAACAATGCATTTACAACATCTCCAAAACGGGGTGACCTTGTTCTAAGACCAAAATCCACGAGGAATGCAGGGAACCACGGGGCCTCCTTCATGGCAGAACCTGGGGCAGGATGCTCTGCTAGTGGGGGACGGCAGTTCTTAGGATGGGGAAGGGGTCAGGAGGTGTGGCCGTAGGGCAGGAGCCGGGCCCCACACCGTAGCATCTCTACCCATCACGGTAGCCCAGGTCCCTGCAGTCCTGCTTGGAGCCACCTGACAGAGGGACATTTGGATGAACTGTTTGTGTTGACTTCACAACTCAGGACTGAAAACCTTGCTGATGGTTCTCAGCACACTGGGGTGCTCTAATGTGGGGCCTGGCAATTTGGGAGGTCAGACATATGGCTAATGGAAAGAGAGTGCCAAGATCAGCTATGACACTGCCACCTGGGCCGTTGGCAGACACCAAATTTACCTACAGCCTCCCTCCCAAAGTCACTGGCCCCACAGAGGACCGGCAGAGCTGGAGCTGTGAGTTTTCATGGGGAATGTCACCTTTGCGCTGAGCAAGGCATTTAATGGGCCCCCAGGCTGCCACGCCTGCTGGTGGGGAAAGTGACCGTGCAGAGGCTTGGGACCCAAGAGACAGGGCATTGTCACCCAGACCCGCCGAGGTGGGCCTCCCATAAATGGAATCCCCAACATAACTATGGCCCCAGATTGAAGGTCGTCCAAAGCTGCATGGATGCTGCAGAGAGACTGATGGAGACTCGGATGAACAGCCCCGCCCAGGAGAAACTGGCCCGCTCTGTGCCGGCCCCAAACACACCCAAGGTCAGAGGCTGCTCGGCACACACGGTGTGACGGTGGCATCCTGCACGCAGCCGGGTTTGGGCTGGAAGGGGCAAGGCTGGTCATGGCCGGGCCGCTGCTGGAAGTTCAGCCTGAGATATGATACCCAGGAGGGTCCAGCCGCCCCTGCCGACCCACCCCACCCGCCAACCACACACGGGCTCCAGATGACACCACCCAACAACCCCTGGCCAGTTGGTGTGGCTGCCTCTCTGCGGGCTGGTTTGAACACACAGCCGCCACATCCTCTCAACCAGCTCAACAGCGACTTAGGGCCTTCAGGTGCCCCTTCCCGGGCCCGGCTCCCTCTCCCCACTGGTGTCTCTGCCGGCCTCCCCCTCCCCTCCCTGAAACTCACGAGCACCGCAGTGGCCCACGACCTTCCCAGGACATCCTCAGTGTCCCTCCCTATAACACTACTCCCAGCTCAGGTCCACCGGCCCTCACATCAGCCACGGCAGGATTGCTCAGGGCCTCGCTTCAGGTTTCCAGTGTCGGGCTTTTAGTTACAAAACGGAACAAACATCGAGCCATGAAAAGGTTGGACAAACCTTGAATGCATAACCCTGAGCGAAGGAAGCCAATCAGCAAAGGCTACGTTTGTACGATTCCAACCGGAGGGCATTCTGGAAAAGGCAGAACTACGGAGACAGGAAAAGGGCCGGGGGGCCAGGAGCTGGGGAGGAGAGAGGAACAGGGGAGAGCACAGGGTGTGGAGGGCAGTGAAGTGACTCTGTGGGACGCCATAAAGGTGGGTCCGTCCCTTACACGGTTCTCCAAACCCACACAACGCCCCGCACAAGAGTGAACCTCAAGGCCAGCTGTGGTCTGCGTGACAGTGACGTGTCAACGTAGGTTCACTGATCCTAACAAACGCACCACCGGTGGGGGTGGTGATAGTAAAGGAGGTTGGGGGGGCAGGGCGTGTATGGGAAATCCCTGTACCTTCTGCTCAACTGGACTGTGAACCTAAAAATGCTCTGAGAAATAAAATCTGGGGCGCCTGGGTGGCTCAGATGCTGAGCGTCTACGTTCGGCTCGGGTCATGATCCCGGGGTCCTGGGATCGAGTCCCGCATCGGGCTCCCCGCTCCGCAGGAGGCCTGTTTCTCTCCCTGCTCGTGCTCTCTTTCTCTGACAAATAAATAAAATATTTTTTTAAAAAGGAAAGAAAATCTATTAATTTAAAAACGAACAAACAGATACATAAGCCTCTCCCTGGCCAGGTAGGCAGGCCCCCCAGCACGCGCTGGGCCCTTGAGTGCTGTACGAACACCCCCACCCCACCTCCCGCCCAGCAGCTTGTGCTCCAGAGACAATCATCCCAGAGGTCAGGTGCCCCCCTCTGTGCCCCCCCCCCTTGGCCGTACTCCACCCCTGGAGCTGCAGCTAATAAACCCACTCGTGCCTCCTTCAGAGACGACCAGCGGGTCTGCCCTTCTCACCCTCTTCCCCAGCTCCCCAGATGTTCCTATCTGACGGACCACCCTGCCCTGCAAGCCCCTCACACGGGGAATGCTCCTCCTGGTGACGCACGCAGACTGCTGTCCCCTCCACCATTCCACAGGCTATGCTCCCATTAATGCAACCTGGCAGTGCACTCTGCCACAGCCAGTGGCATGCTCATCACGGTTCACAGAGAGCAGCCGCTGTCCCCACGCTCTGCTCTGAGGCCACGTCGCCCCCACCCTCTTGTGCAGTCAGTGTTTGGAGACCTAAGAGCTGGGCTTTGTGCGTTGTCTTTATCCAGGACCCGCTCCTTAGACTAACCCCAGAGCTGTTGTGTCAGAGTGCTGGCTCTTTTCATTCCATATCCCAGCATCGTTGTTCTGCCCTCACTGCCCCTGCCCCCCCCCTCAGCCCTCAGCGTGTGAGGCAGAGCAGGGCCGAGAGCAGACCCCTGCCACCTGCCACCATTGTCTGAGACCGCGCCTGGTCCAGCCCCCAGCAGCAGGCCTGGAATCCTGACCTGTCACTTACCAGACATTTATTTAATTTCCCTGTGCCTCGGTTTCCCCATCTGAAAATGGGTCATAGAAGATTTTACTGTCCGAGTTGTGAGAATTAGTGAGTGAATGCGCAGAGAAGCACCTGTCGCCCCTCCACACACACACACACACACACACACACACACACACGGCACACACTGCCGGGGTCCTCCCGGTTTTCCAGATCTTCCGCCAGGCCACCGTCCCCTGGGGGGCCCAGTGCCCAGCCCCTCCCCGGGGGGCGGGGAAGGCGCCTGTTGGGAAGGGGCTCATGCAGCCTCCCTTTCTGCGTTCACAAACTGCGGGGTGCAGTACATTCTAGAACACTGAGTGGTCGCCGGCCGGGGCCCCGGGCCAGCCAGGCGCAGCGCGGACGACGCGCGTACAGAGGCGCCGGGATCCCGCCCGGCCCGACCCGGCGCCCGCGATGCCGGCCCGCGTCCCCGCGCTCGGGGCCCCGGGGCGGACGCGCCGCATGTGGTTCGTGTGCCACGGCCTGGGCATCGCGTGCGCCGCCAGCACGTGGGTGCTGGTGCTGGGCGCCGCGGGCGTGCTGCTCCGAGCGCAGCTGCTCCCGGCCCGGGACGCAGCCTACGGCCGGGCCCACGGCGCGCTCTTCCACCTGCTGGCCTTCCTGGCGCTGGCTGCGCATGCGCGGGCCATGCTCTCCGACCCCGGCTCCGTGCCCCTGGGCGCCGCGGCCCGCGGCCCCCGCTGTCCCCTGTGCGGCTGCGCCCAGCCACCGCGCGCGCATCACTGCGTGGTGTGCCGACGCTGCATCCGCAAGATGGACCACCACTGCCCCTGGGTCAACAACTGCGTGGGCGAGGACAACCGGAAGTTCTTCCTGCTCTTCGCGCTCTACGCGGCCCTGGGCTCGCTGCACCTGTTGCTGCTGCTCGGCGTGCCCGCCCTGCGCGGCTACGCGCGCGGGGAGTGGGACTCGCGCAGCACCCTGACGCCGCGCGCCTCCCTCATCTTCCTCCTCCTGGTGGCTCTGAAGGGCTTCCTCTTCGCCTCGGCCATGTTCGCCACCCAGTTGCACGCCATCTGCACCGACCGAACCAGAATCGAGCCGCTGCGGAGGGAGCGGGCCGGGCCGGGCAGCGGGTCCAAGTGGATGAACCTGAAGGCCGTCCTGGGCCACCGCCTCTCCCTGGCCTGGATCAGCCCCTCCGCCTCCCCGCGACCTCAGAGGGCACGGGGGGCCCTCTTTGTGGTCTGACACTCTCCTGAGCAAACTCAGCCACCATCTGCTGAATCCCCAGCGGGCGTTGAGGGGAGTTTCCTCAAGAAGTCGCCTTGTGTCCCGTCCACGGACAAGACCACCACGAGAGAGAATAAAAAAGCCCCAGGCTGTCTTCCGAGCAGAGAGTGGGGCTCAGACAGCCGAGCTTCCTAGAAAGTTCACAGGCCAGGGAGGTGAGAGATGCTGTCGCCTTTTAGCTCTGTCAGTGCTTTTCTGTGGAAAACAATTAAATACACAACATCTCTGAGTGCGGTATCCTGGATTAGTGCGAGTCCTTGTTGAATGTGGTTAACTGCAGATGGCGGGCCCCATTCTGTTGTGCAGAGCTGCACGGTGCCTGACGCGGTCCCCGAGCATCGTCGGGCTCCTGACAAACCCAGCTCCACCGTGCTGGATTGTTTTCTATTATCTCTTGGATTTTTGTGTTTATGCTCACCAGTGAAATGTGCCTATAAATGTTTATTCTTTTATTAGCCTAATCTGTTTGTAATTTACTCCAGATCACACTAGCCATAGAAAATGAGTGAGGTGTGGCTCTTTCTATATGTTCTTTTTTTAAAGATTTTTATTTATTGATTGGTCAGAGAGAGGGAACACAAGCAGGGGGAGGGGCAGGCAGAGGGAGAGGCAGACTCCCCGCGGAGCAGGGAGCCCGATGCAGGACTCCATCCCAGGACCCTGGGATCAGGACCTGAGCCGAAGGCAGTTGCTTAACTGACGGAGCCACCCAGGCGCCCTATATATGCTCTGAACAACCTGTGTGAGATTAGCACTATCTGTTCCTTGACTGTTTGGTGGATCTCACTACTCCAACCATCTAGGTTTGGTTTCTTCTTTAACTTTTCATTTTGAGGTAACTGTAGATTCACATGCAGTTGTAAGAAATAATAGAGATCCTGTGTACCCTTTGGGCTGACTTCTGGCATAACTGCAGTAAAATATCCTGCAAGGAAACCCACACTGATACAACCCACTAACTTCATTCAGGTTTCCCAAGTTTTATATGTACTCACTTGGGGGCGGGCGGGCCATGTAATTTTGTCACATGTGTAGGTCTGTGTATGCACCACCATACACCCAGCTCCCTTCATCCCCCGGCAGTGCCTGATCTGTTCTCCATCTGGTTTTGTCATTTCTAGAATGCTTTCTAAGTGGAATTACGCAACACGTCAGTATGTCATCTGAGATCGCCTTTTCTGCTCAACATAATTCCCTTGAGACCCATCTAAAGTGTCGCCTGTGTCAAGAGGTCATTCTTATTTGTTGCTGAGGAACATTCCACCATATCCACAGTTTAACCATGTGCCCACTGAAGGACATTTGGGTGTCTCCACTTGTCAGCTACTGGAAATAAAACTGTTATGGACATTTGTGCGGATTTCGTGTGAATGTAAGGTTTCCTCTCTCTGGGCCGAATGCCCATGAGGGCAGTTGCTGGGTCAGATGGTAGTTGCATGTTCCGTTTTATGAGAAGCTGCCATAGTCTTTTACAGAGGGGCTATACCGCTGTATGCTTCCATCAGCAGTGTGTGGACGATCTGTTCTCTCTGCACCCTCTCCCGCATTTGGCGTTATTACTGTTTTTGTTTACTTTAGCCATTCTGATAGGTGTGTGTTGATGCCTCATTCTGGCTTCCACTGCATTTTCCAAATGGCCAAGGATGCTGAGCATCTTTTCGTGTGCTTATTTGCCCTCTGTGCAGCCATTTCGGTGAGTGTCTGTCCATGCCTTTCACCCATGTTCTGATTGGATGGTTTGTAATGTTGAGTTTTGGGAGTCTTTCTAGATTCCTTCTGCAGTCCTTCATCAGACAGGTGGTTTGCAAACCGTTTCTCCCAGTCTGCGGCCTGTCTTTCCATCCTTCTCCACAGGCTCATGCGCAGAGCAGAGGTTTCTCACTGTGATGAGACCCAGTTTATCAGGTTTTGTCTTTATGGCCCATGCATCTGTGTCACGTCCAGGAACCCTCTGTCCAGCCCCAGGGCCCAAAGACTTTCTCCTATCATTTTCTACAAGTTTTATGTTTTATATTTAAATCTACGGTCCATTTTGAGTTAATTTTGTACAAGGTGTGATGGTTAGGTCATGTGTAGATACAAAGTTGTGCAACACCCACCTGTTGAGCAGCTGTGCTCCCTCCATTGAAGGGCTTCTGCACAGTTGTCAAAATCCACTGGGTGTGTTTACGTGGGTCTATTTCTGAGCTCTCCATTCTGTCCCACTGATCTGCATCTCTGTCCCTCAACAGATACCCACTGTCTTGGTAACTGTAGCCATATAATGTGGTACAGTGCTTTTTCCCACTTTTTCCAAGGTTGTTTTAGCTATTCTAGGTACCGAGTCTTCCCACGTAAAGTTTAGAATAAGCTTGTCTATGTCAACAAAGAAAACCCTGCTGAGATTTTGAGAAGAATTGCATGAAACCTATAGATCCTTTTGGAGAACAATTGACGTCTTCTCCCTTGTGAGTCTTTCCATCCATTGACATGGTATGTCTCTGCTTTCATTTCAGTCTCTTTTGCTTCTCACACCAGCATTTTGTAATTTTTACTATGTAGATCCTGAACATGTTTCATTAATTTATACCTAAGTATTTCATTTTCTTTGGGTCACTTATAAGTGGTTCTGTGTGTTCAATTTCAGTTTCCACGTGTTTGTTTCTAGCATGTATGTTCATCTTGTATCCTGCCACCTTGCCAAATTCACTTATATGTTCTAGTTTGGTTTTTGTTTTGTTTTGTTTCTGTAGATTTCTTGGGATTTCCTATGTAGACAATCATGTCATCTGAAAACTATGACAGTTTTATATTTTTATTTCTAGCATATCTGTCTTTTATTTCTTTCTCTTGCCCTATCACACTGTCAGAACGTTCAGAACATATTGAAGAACAGCCTGGAAGCTTTCTGAAGGGAGACGTCTTTGCTTACCATTTCAACACTTACAACCCATGACTCTTTGACTTCTTTTTGCCCAAACTTGTACATTCTTTTCTAGAAATGGTTTTCCTCTAGATTTTTAAATTTATCAACATGCATTGTTCCTAAAACTCTTTTATTATTTTTTTTTTTTTAAGGAGCCTCCATGCCCAGCACAGAGCCCAACGCAAGGCTTAAAGTCACGACACTGAGATCAAAACCTGAGCTGAAATCAGAGTCAGTTGCTCAACTGACTGAGCCTCACAGGCACCCCTGTTTTTAAATTGTTGTTCAGCTTTTAGCAATTCCACTTAATTTCACTTTGTACTTTATTTACACTTTCTCTCTTTTTTTCTGTGGCCTTGACAGCATCAGTCTACTGACTGGTTTTTCCATAAATAGCTTTGGGTTTGTTTTTTCTCTATTATTGTTCCAAGAATATGTTGTCAAGTTCCTTATTTCAGTGAGTTCTACACTCTTCTTTATTTTTTTTTAAGATTTTATTTATTTATTTGACAGAGAGAGAGAAAGCAAGTGAGGGAACACAAGCAGGGGGAGGGGGAGAGGGAGAAGCAGGCTTCCCGCTGAGCAGGGAGCCCGATGCGGGGCTCGATCCCAGGACCCTGGGATCATGACCTGAGCCAAAGGCAGACACTTAACCAACTGAGCCACCCGGGTGCCCCTACCCTTTTCTTTATTAATTTTTTTCTTGTTTCCTTGGATTTTCTCTGCAGCTCTTTTTTAAACCTCTTGAATTGAATGGCTTACTTATTTATTAATTTTCTCCTTTTCAAGTAAGTATACTTAAAGCTGTAACATCTCCTCTGGGTGGTAGTGTACATTCAAATTTTGATACGTAAAATATTCAGTGTCATTAAGGCTTAAATTTCTTTTTTTTCTTTTTCCATTTACTTTTAAATTTCATTTTTAAGCATATATACATTTTTTTCCATTTTATTTTTTTCATCATGATTAGTACCCCCCTTAATCCCCACCACCTATTTCACCCAGCCCCCGCCCACCTCCCCCCCCTCTGGTAACCATCAGTGTGTAGAGTAGAATAAAGATTCTGTTTCTTGGTTTGTCTCTCTCTCTTTTTCTTTGCTCATTTTTCCTTTGCTGTTTTGTTTCTTAAATTCTACATGTGAGTGAAATCATATGGTATTTGTCTTTCTCTGACTATTCCTTTTGCCATAATCCTCTCTAGTTCCATCCATGTCATTGCAAATGGCAAGATCTCATTCCTTTTGATGGCTGAGTAATATTCCATTGCGTATATATACCATCTCTTCTTTATTCATTCATCTGTCAGTGGACACGTGGGCTGCTTCCATAATTTGACTATTATAAATGATGCTGCTATAAAGATACAGGATACATGTATCTTTTGAATTAGTGTTTTTGTATTTGGGGGGTAAATAGCCAGTAGTGTGATTACTTGATCACAGGCTAGTTCTATTTTTAACTTTTTGAGGGACCTCCATACTGTTTTCCAGAGTGGCTGCACCAGTTTGCATTCCCACCAGCAGTGCAGAAGGGTTCCTCTCTCTCCGCATCCTCACCAACATTTGTTGTTTCTTATGCTGTTGATTTTAGCCAGTGTGACAGGTGTGAGGTGGTATCTCGTTGTGGTTTTGATTTGCATTTCCCTGATGATGAGTGATGTTGAACTCTTTTCATGTGTCTGTTGATATCTGGATGTCTTCTTGGGAGAAATGTCTATTTGTCTTCTGCCCAATTCTAATTAGAGTACTTGTTTTTTTAGTATTGATTTGTATCAGTTCTTTATACATTTTGGATACTAACCCTTTATCAGAGATGTGATTTGCAAATATCTTCTCCCATTCAGTATGTTGCTTTTTAGTTTTGTTGATTGTTTCCTTTGCTGTGCAGAAGCTTTTTATTTGGATGAAGTCCTAAGAGTTGATTTTTGCTTTTGTTTTCCTTGCCTCCGAAGACATATCTAGAAAGATGTTGCTACAGCTGATGTCAGAAAAGTTACTGCCTCAGTTCTTTTCTAAGATTTCTAAGGTTTCAGCCCTCACATTAGGTCATTCATCCATTTGGAGTTTACTTTGTGTGTGGTGTAAGAACGTGGTCCAGTTTCATTCTTTACATGTCATTGTCCAGTTTTCCCGGCACCATTTGCTGAAGGGTTAA